TTATTGTTATTTTTTTACTTAAATTTATCAACAAAAAAAATTACCAATTTTTTTCTGAATTATATTTTGTATCTTTGAATGAATCTCAAAATTGAAAATTATGAAAAAGAACATTTCTTTCTCAAAATTCAAATTTATGGCCAACCAACAAGAAAGATCTTTGTTTTATGAGCAGAAATATTCCCTTCAACATTTAGAAAGTTTCAGACACCAATTTCTATTTGTGTTTCAAAATGACCACAACTATGCATTGCAAATAATACCTGTTGATCAATCTTATTCTAATACAATCAATGATAAAACATCAACAGCTTATTTAAATAAAAATGCGAGCCTTAAAGATCAAAATGTAATTGAGGTTAATATGCATAATGAAACTTCTGACAAAGTTTTTATTCCACTTTCCATGACATCAGAAAAATCTGTGACATCAAAAAATTCAAAAGCAACTTTGAACATAACTGCAGCAACTCCTGCCATAACTAAAAAAACAGAGACACTTACCTTTAATGAAGTTCTGACTCTATTACAAAATGCTACTTATTTTAATAATGGAGAAGAAACTATACCTGTTCGTCCCAAAGCAGGAAAAATTTATGGGTTTACAATTTCCAGTGACAAAACATTAAAAAAGCATTTGCGAGCAGATGGCTATATGTGGAGGAACAAAAAAAGTTGTGCATTAGGAAATGGTTTAATCACTAAGACATATTTTTACGCAAGAGTTGGTAAAACATATACTAACAATTTTGAAAAGCATGAATCAGGCTTAGTCGGGAAGCGGGAGCGATCGCTCTCGAATACTGACCACGGAAATTATATTTAGTTGCGTAAAACTGGCCAGTTTTTTAGTCGTTTTGAGAACATTTAAGTTTATGTACGAAACAAAAAATTTTTGTTTTACGGACATACATGGAAACATAAAAAACTTGAATGTTCTCAAAACATCTTTGTGCGAAAGAATAAAAAGAATATTTGCGAACACTAAAAACCCGCCAAATTAACGAACAAACTAATTCTATTGGTTCAAAAAATACGCTGTTTAAGTGAAATAAAGTTCTAGAGTATTCTGCTAAAATGTTTTAAAAAATTGTATTATACACGATTTGTTACGTTGTGAGATTTCTGGCATTGTTTTAAGAATATATATTATTTGTTTACGAAAATAAATGTTTTAAATATAATTGATTAAATTGTTAAAAGTTTTAAAAGTTTATTATAAATCATAGATTTTATTAGTATATTCTTATTTTTTATTTTAAAAGAGATTGTTTTCTTTATGTAAATGTAATTTTGTGTATTTGTTTTTTATCGTAATGTATCTTTTAAAGCAATTTTTATGATTTAAACAAAGACTTACAAAAATAATTGCGTTTTCAATGAAGTTATAATCGTTAACGTTAATAAAACTAATTATGTAACAAACATATACGTAGTTTCTGGTTACTAAACACAAAAAACGCATACAAAGTAACTCGCGGATGAACAAGCATCGCGCCTGAGGTCACGACTAATATACTTTTTTCTGCTTTAAATACTAATTAAAATTAAAAAGCCCACTCACTAAACATCATCAGCGATATTGCGAAGCAGTTTCGCTTCCTGGTCATTAAGTATTCTTAACCTTTTTAGTTGATTTCTATCTTGATTATTTAATTCCTATAGTAATTCGATGATTTAATTTTTTCATTTGTTTAACTTACTAAGAAGAATCGCTTCAAATATGTTAAACTTTTCAAACTACTCGAAACATAAAATAGGTATTAAAAAATTAACTTTTTTATTTATAAAAAAATTTAGCTTAAGTAAAACTAAAACTTGCAAACTTAGTTAAATAAAGAATATTTATTTCCCTTTTAAACAATCGTAAGTTGTTACTTTATATAAAAAACATCGCTTAATTTTTTTTTTTTTGTAATTGTCTCTCATCGGTCCAATTAATCTTCGTCGCTTTTTTTTTTTTTTTTGCTTTTTAAAATGTTCTCAAACGACTAAAAATCTGGCCAGCTTTTCGCAACTAAATATTATTTACGTGGTCAGCAATCGAGAGCGATCGCTCCCGCTTCCCGACCAAGCCTGATGAATATATGTTGCAAAATGGAAAAAAAGCATTGATTCATTACTTGGGCAATGAAAAATCATATGTTGATAGATGTCATGGAAATTCAACAAAATCAAAATTTTTTTTTTACAGATCATCGCATTATGTTTTTGATCAAGTTTTGGCTCAAGGGAAAAATAAACCCATGGATGCATATAGGAGCCTTTTATCAAATGACCCAGGTGGTCATATTTCAACTTCTATTATTCCAAGAAATCCTAAACAGGTTGCAAATATTATGACAAGAAATGCTGAAAAAAATAATTTTCATAATAAGGATGAGGTTTGGAATAGTCATCTTGTTGCGTATTCCATTCATCCATTTGTTCGAAAAATAGAAAGCTACCTAGACATCTGTATTGTTATGTGTTGTGAAAAAATTGTTGCACAAATGGAAGAAATGTTAGAATTACTACCTTGTAAAGAAATTACACTTCACTATGACACAACTTTCAATTTAGGAAATTATTATTTGTCATGCTTAGCTTATCGACACGTTTGTTTGGAAACAAAAAGGAATAAATACTTATATTCTTCGCCTACTGTTCCTTTTGCATTTTTTTTACATGAAAAAAGATTAGCACAAAATCACAAATACTTTTTTCAAACATTAAAAGAAAATGTTTGCGGAAAAAATTTTAATAAATCCAGGAAGTTATTCATTTCTGATCGTGAGTTTGATGGCTCCCATTATTTTGATAATACAAAAAGTTTGGTATGTTGGAACCATTTATTGCAAAATGTAAAGGAATGGATGCGAAAGAATGGTAAATTTTCATCATCAGAGTATGATGAAGCTGTAAAAGCCATGAAATACATTCTTCGATCAAATTCTGTTTTTGAATATGAATCAAGACTTAAAAGTCTAACGAAAGGAAATATCAACCCTTGGAATGATCAAAAATTTCAAAAAAAACTACATTCAATACATGCACTCTGATGTTATTTCTCGTGCTGCTGCATTTGTTTTAGCAGAAGAAGGAATAAAGTACCCAAACTTTGGTGTTACCAATAATGCGTCAGAGTCTTTAAATAAAGTTATTAAGGATCTTATTGACAACAAAATAACAAAAATGGACTCTTGCATTTTATGAATTATCTCAGTGCCTATTTTCTATGAATTATCTCAGTGCCTATTTTCACAGAGAAGTTGAAAAGGGATACTATAATGTTGGTTTGTATCAGTTAAGTGATGAGTTTGCCTTTATGTTAAGATCAAGAGATGAACTTAGCGCTAATCAAATCATCCTACCAAATGACATAGTAAAGCATATAAAAGAGACTGAAATACATTGCAAAGATCATAACAATTTTTCTTCTCCTTATGCTTCTATAGAGATGTTAGTTGAAAAACCAGTTAAAAGTGATCTTCCAAAACTTGTTTATTCAATATCCTCATTAGCAAAGGATATATTAAATAAAAACGGAGTTGTATTTGTTCCCCAAAATCAAAGTTGGTCAGTGAAAGAATCAGAAACAATTATTTATTCTGTAAATTTGAACCCACCTGCACATTGTACTTGTAGTGCCTCGAAAAATTGTGTTCACATTTTAGCAGTTCAATATCTCTCTGGAAATGTAAATAGTTTAGAACACTTTGAAGGGAAAAAAAGAAACTTAACTTCACTTATACAAAAAAATAGGCTTAAAGTTGAAAGAAAATCAGGCAAAAAAAAACCAAGGAAATGTGATATTGATTCGAATTTAAAAACATTGAATTTTTGTGAACTTGCAGTTCCAAAAAATGAAAGTTTCAGTATAAAGCAGAATGAGCAATCTACTGTGCCTGAAATAAAATATCCTATTCCAAGAGGACTTCAATGAGGTGTTGGTTTGGTTTTAAACAGTTGCACAATTGATAACACTTTAACAATGTTGAAGTTGCGTTGCCATGCAGATAAGTACTTTTTAAATCGCCTTGGTACTTCAGAAGCAGAAATAGAGCTTAAAAAAGCAATGAGATATTTAAATAATGATGATGACAATTATGGTAAAGAAATCTGGGCATGCTTTTTAAAAAGTAAAATACAAATTATAAGCTCACTATGTTTTAACTTATATGGATCATCTAAAACATTTTTTTTCAACCACTTTAAAGAAGCATTTCCATTCGAGAGTGTTGGAAAATGTTTTACATGTTTAAATAGTTCTTTTCATCCTTTTGATTTTATAGAACTGCCTCCAAACCATGACCCAACAGATTATTTGCTAGGTTATTTGAAAGATAAAAGATTGCTTCTAAATTGTTTAGTTTGTGGCAATAAAGAATTAAATCACTGTGGCACGACATTAAAATCTCAAAATATTTGGATGATTGTGATTGAGTGTGATATTCCTAACATTTCAATTTCTTCGCTGATGAATTTGCCAAAAAAAATTTTAATTGAAAAATGTTACTTTTCCTTGGCATGCATAACTCTTGGACTTAATGCTCACTTTACATCTTTGCACTACATAAGAGATCAATGGTTTTTTTATGATGGTATGCAAAAAAATAGAAAACTAACCAAGATGATACCATATAATTGGCAAAATAAAGTTGCAAACCATGTCATTTATCTTATTGATTAATGCTTTTTGAACTGATATGAATTGCACTGTAAAGTTTTAAGATTTTAGATTCATTTTTACTATATAGTGATAATATTATAACTAACACGATATATTTATGTTTTATAATAAAAAAGTTGTGTTTTTTTATTTATTAGAGTAATTTCTGTTATTTATATATAGCTTTTGAAACACTTACAGTGAGTTTGCGAATAATTTGAAAGAAGTTTTAGTTAAAATTTTCCTTGTGTTAGATATTTTTTTATACCCATTTGTTTTCATATAGTATTTAGTTTTAAATACTTTTAGTAATAGTAGAAAAGAAAATGTTTTTAAAGTTGTTGCTTTTTTTATCAATAAATCTGGTATAATTGGTATTGTTTTGTTTTGCATCATAATACAAATTTTCATAAAATAGTTATATATTGTTATATATTTTCATGTTATGTAAAACTTCTTTAACATAGATAGATTTATGTAACATAGACACCCGAAAATTGCGATATAGGTTGACATCTATTTCAAATGATATCAAAAATTAACTTTGAATATGGGTGTATGTAAAAACACTGGCAACCAGCTTGTATGCCAATATATAAAAGTCTCATTGACCCATGTTTCAGGTAAACAGCTTATAAGGTTTTTCTTTTTTATTGATAAATTCTAAAAAATAAATTATTTTTTAAAATGTATTTTAGTGTATGCTGATGTAGCTTCTAAAATGTGAGAGGGCAAGGAAATTAGACGTTACAGTACTTTTCACAAACTAATCTGGCTTTAGTCTATATACTACAAGAAGTAATAAGAAAAATCAATTTCAGAAGATTACCAATCCTTTCTTCCTGGCATCTTTCAAAAACTCTTAAAAGTGAATTTGGCATTGACAGGTTATATACTTTTTTTGTTGCTGGTACATAAGATATTTGTCATTTTTAAAATATAGACAACCCAATACTTTTCTGATTTTATATATACTGTGGGTGGGTGAAATAAAAACATTACTTAAGAAGACTTTTTACTCATTTATTCAAAAGTGTTAATTTATAAGGCATAAATTTGGCAGTGATTTTTATTTGACAATTGCTGTTTCAAATTTTTTTTAAACTCAATCACTTCATATTCAATCCAATTTATTTAGCCTTATTATTAAATATTATGAAATATTTATTTATCTGTAGATACTAAATCGCGATAATTATGTTATATCAGCAAAACGAGTAATGAACAGTTTTAGTCTTCAACGGTTGAAATTACTCAGCAAACATGAATTCATTGAAGAAACTGATTGTCGTTGCTCTAGCATAAAGATCGTTGCACGATCGACCTGATAAAAGATGAAATTACTTATATATGTGATTAATTAAAAAAAGACAATTAGTTTGTAAATAATCAGGTGAATGGTAGCCTTTATTATATGGCTGGTTGTGTTCAGCACAGGATGTTGTGCATAGTTAATGTAACAATATCAGTTTTTCAGTTCCAAAATTAAAAATTATGTTTCACATAGTAAATTGGGTTTTCTTACTCTTTTGCATTTTATTCGTTTTTGTTATATAATATTTACCAGTGCTCCAAAATATGAAAAAACGTTTTTATTTGTAATTTTAAAGAAACTCTTTTTTTATTCCTACACTTGACATCATCAATTAATTTAGAAAGTAACAGTATCGGTGCTAAATAATTATTTCTCTAATAACTAACTTTAAAAAAAAAGTTTTAACATTTAAAAATTTATCACGGTCTATGTGGGTACCGCCAATATTTTTTTAATTCGCATTTTATATTTGCTATTACTACTAAAATTTTTAAGTTTTTATAAATAATGGAGCTTTAAAATATATTTATTAATTACACAGGTCTGCAAATTAAAACTTTTTTTTTTTTTTGGAATGGGTGAATTGTATATATTTTGGTATGCTGATTTCAATAATACCATCCATTTCGACCCATTACGTAAGGATTTTCCGCTAAGTCGAAAATAAAATATGGGCAAAGCCCGCCTTACACTACTATTTTAGACAATAATCATAAGAAGAAAAAAAATGGTAAAACTATGCAAGATTGGTTCATTTTAAATCATAAAATAATTTGTATACATTATATACAACTATAAAGCTTTATAAAATCTAGTTTTTTTAGTTTTGAAGCTTCGTTTAGAGCTTTTTCTTTTGTGGGATGTTACATTTTCCCTATGCAGCATCCAGCAGTAGTCGCCCATCATATTTGTATTCCATCGACCTTGATGCCTTCTCTCCATTTCTTTTATATCTTGGTGAAACCTCTCACCTTGCTCTTCACTAACTGCACCAAGATTTTCCGGGAAGTAATCCAAATGGGAGTTCAAAAAATGGAGTTTTGAACTCATTGAGCATCCCAGATTTTTAGAATTGCACAACATATTTTCTACGATATTTTTTAAGTCCGAGTCTTTCTGATTCCCTAGAAAATTTGTTACTACGTCTTTAAAAGAATTCCATGCTGACCTCTCAACATAGTTCACCATATTTTCAAAGTTGTTATCTTTCATTAGCTCACGAATCTCAGGACCAACAAAAGCTCCCTCTTTCAGCTTTGCTTCAGACAGACCAGGAAACTTGCTTGAAAAAAATTTAAATGTCTCACCATCTTTTAGCAATGCCTTCACAAACTGCTTCATCATGCCAAGTTTGATATGGAGTGGTGGTAGAAGGACCTTTTTAGGATCAACCAAAGATTCAAAGTGCACGTTTTCATCTCCGATCTTCAATGTTCTTTTTGGCCACACTTTTTGCTTCCAGTGTTTAGTTTTAGCACGACTATATCATTAACAAAGAAAAAAGGGTAATTTTTTGTAACCACCTTGCTGTCCATGTATCATAGAAATTACTTTAAGATCCCCACAAACTGTCCACTCGAATTCTTTGTACTTTAATTAATCCAAGATCAATGCCAAGTTACAATAAGTTGCCTTCAAATGCACTGAGTGACCAACGGGTATTGATGCGTACTTATTCTTGTTGTGAAGTAAAAAAGCTTTTATTCTTCTTTTTGAAGAATCAATAATCTGTCTCCAACTTTCAGCCATATGTTGAACTTTAAACATGGATATTAACCCATTGTTATCGGAACAATAGACCATCTCACCATATTGAGGAAAATAAGGGCTCAAAATATTTATTTTGCAGATATGTTTTGAACAGCAGATTGTTTTGAGAGTCCTAAACCTCGGATCAGGTTATTTAATTCAACTTGAAAAAAATGTTGAGGACTACTGTAGTCGCCGAACTGAAACTCGTCACAAGAACTTTCTTCTGATTCACTTTCTAATGATGGTAAATCATCTAGATTTTGGGGTGCTTGTGGTGTAGGAATGCCAGGTCCGTGAGGGACTGGGTGGAGTGTCAATTCCATGTTTGGATAAAAAGTTTATTATTTATTTTTGGTACTATACCCCTGCACATAACACGAACAAAAGTAGCAGTCATCGCTGTGGTTTCGAGGCTCTCTCCAGATTATGGGTACACCAAAACGAAAAGATTTAACTTTACCTTTTGTTCAAATTCTAAGTTCTTCAACGCACCCTGAACAAACTCCATGCGGAGCCCAAAATTTGTCCTGATTGCCTATCTTCATACCAAGATACACAAGTACACATTTTTATCAAATTCAGTAATATTTCATTGTTGTTTTGTATAAATCGGGATTTTCCATACTTACTATGGAAAATCCCGATATATATATGGTTCAACGCTTACTAATATTATCTTCATGAGTTACTGAATATTTTGTTTTAGCCTACGAAACATAAAATTATCTTATAATAAGTTAATAAATAAAATAATAAATATTTTGGCAATAAGCCCCGTTTTGCGCTCTAAAATAAACAATCCCACAGCATTTTGCATTTTTTAGAAAAACCTTACATGATGGAATTTTTTTGATAACTTTTTCGAATTCAGCGACCTAAAATTTATAAAAATTAACTCTTTAATCTTAGAAAAAAAATATGTTGCAATTAATTGCCCGCGTATTTTAGAGATTACACGAGGCTTTATTCTATTTAATGAAATAATTGATGTGATTCAAACCCATATATATTTAAAACAAGGTATATTGAAAAACTCTTTCTAAAAAGTCTTTAACTCTTTAATGAGACCAAAAAAGCTAAAAGGTATATTTTGTTCTGTCATTTGCGATGTTTCAATGTTTTGGTCTGTTTAACATCGCTCACAAAAGCTTTGAATGCGGGAAAAGATTCGTAGAAGGCGCAAATTATTGGTAGAGATTCTCAAAGATATCTTTTGTCAATGTTGCTCAGTGTGCAAGGATTCATTCTTACATGAGTTTGAAGCCTACATAGAATATTTTCCAACCTCGTATAACAAGAAATATTATCATAAAAGATGTTCTCTGCTTAAGGACCAAGTTTGGTTAGAATTGTTATAGTGTACCAGTAGTTTCTCTTACACAACAACAAGGGTTTTTATCTTTACACAGTTTTCTTGTGCAATTATTTATGAGAATTCGCTTGCTTTATGGTTCACCCTGGTCATAATGAATAACTCTAATTAAAAATTTTAATATTTAATTAGTTAATAATTTTTACGCATATTTTTTCGATAACACAACTAAATATAAAATTAGCAAAAAAGTTTCAAAATAATTTTATAACATTAATTTTTATTTCGTCTCTTTTTCTATTTTTATTCGCGAAAGTTTGAAAGGACAGAACCAAAAGCCAAATTTGGCTTTTGCCAAGTTTAAAAGGACAGAAGTCCTTTTAAACTTTGCATTTACAAAAAATCCGGGGGATATTTAACTTTTCGTTGTTTTTTTTGACGGTTACCGAAGTCTATTATTACGCCATTTTTTTCGGCATTTCGGCTTTTCGGCGTTTTAGAATTCGGCTTTTTAGGCGATCCCGTGCTGTAAAATGTTCTGGAACCAGATTTAGTTTATATTTAAACATGAAAAATATATTTTGAAAAATATTTATTTGAAATATATTTAGCGCGTTCATTTGTTCCAATATGGGTTGAGCAAGAGCAAATTTATTTTTTTTGTATTCTAGTCTTGAAACGTTTTTGACGTAGGTAAAGTGGTTCTAATTTAGATTTGTAGATACTGCCCATATTAATACCACTTGCTGCTTCCTGTAGTATCCTTCCTTTGTGGACACTCCAACAGAGTTTGTGTTATATTGTTTGCGATTTGATCTAATAATTAAATCCAATCGAAAAATACATAATTAGGATCCTTTGATTTATCATTTTGAAAATGTTATTAAAGTTGATTTTTTGTTCAACGTTGTATACTCATCAATTATTAATAATAAACTTCCGCCAACAATTATAAAGTATTGATAATTTATTGATTGCAATATTTGCTCCATACAGTTTTTGAATATGTAAGAAATTAAATAGGTCTGAGGTAGGATCAAATGTGTTTTGCAATATAATAGGCTGTACGAAAAACCTTTGCAGTCTGAAATATTTTGGACTCATTCATTTTATAAATGAAATTTTCTACTTTTTCTTTATTTCCAAATTCAATTGTTTTTTCGACTTAAATATGAGCATTACTCAGAGCTGGCGTAAATAAGTATCACGTGGGGGACGGGTGGGGGATGGGTGGGTGATGTATGCTATTACAGCTTTTTCCGATAAAATAATAGTTCCTTGTTTATTTATACTCGCCATCTGGCTGGTCTACATTTGTCAACTGACTGTTTATTTTAACTGACTGTTTATAATTTGACTAAATTTACTTACTGACTTGTCTTAAAGGTCAAAAAGTTTATTGATGAGGAGTGTCATCCCTCTTCCTCCCAACACACACACACCCATCGCACCAACTTGGGCAGTACTTTTTTAATTGCTCTAAACGTTTTTTTGCGCAAAGATGTTAATTGCGACAGTTTATCTTTTTCATATTATAAATTCACTCTTTTTAAATTTTAACACCTTTAGTTTAAAAAGACCCCAAATTTTTTACTTTTTGCACACAACTGCGTACAACTTTATATAAATTCGATGTTTTTTTTCAGTTTTGATCATTTTTCTTTTCCATCTTTTGAACCTTTTTTTTTTCAACGTGGTTTTAATAAATTATTACTACAATGCACATTTATTGAACATTTGAATAAAAAATACTTGAAACATAACACACTTTTTCAAAATTTATTGAACAATGCCTAAAATTTGTTTTCATCTTAATTTTATAGTACTTTTATAGTAAAATTATTTTATTTTTTAATCGTTAAAAAAACCAACTGCAAGAAAAGCAATAACTAAAAGTTAAGAAATTTTTATCATTTAAAGAAACCGAAATTTACTAAAAAAACACAAAGAATATTTTATTTGCTATCAAGATTCTAAAATATGGCATATAGTAAGAACTTCGTTAATGTGACTCCTTTTGATCAAACAGGATTTCTATATTCTTTGAAATTGAACATTGCTTGAATCGCCAAACCAAAACTTGCAAAGAATCCGAAGGCCTAAGTTTATGAAGACAATAAGTTAAAAATAAAAATAATAAAGTGGTTTATTTAAAAATCTAAAAAGGTTTTAGTTTTTTACAAATAATTTTTTTTTTGATTTTTTTACAAATAAATTTTTTTTAATTTTTCACAAATAAATAAATTTTTTAATTTTTTACAAATAATTAAATTATATATATATATATATATATATATATATATATATATATATATATATATATATATATGTAGGTATATATATATATATATATATATATATATATATATATATATATATATATTATATATATATATATATATATATATATATATATATATATATATATATATATATTCATATATATATATTTATATATACAGAAGCAGCCATTGACATAGGCGGGATAAACGCCCGCCTAGAGCCCCGCGAGCCAGGCAGCCCTATTGGATCCTGGACCTATACTACCTCTGACCGCACATTCTAAGTAGCAAATGTGGAGTTAGAGCCCAATGCGGGGACGCAGCAGCCAGGAAGCACACTGTCCTGGCTGCTATATGTATATATATATATATATATATATATATATATATATATATATATATATATATGTATATATATATATATATATATATATATATATATATATATATATATATATGTATATATATATATATATATATATATATATATATATATATATATATATATATATATATATATATATATATATAAATATATATATATATATATATATATATATATATATATATATATATATATATATATATATATATATATATATATATAAAAATATATATATATACATATATATATATATATATATATATATATATATATATATATATATATATATATATATATATATATATATATATATATATATATATATATATATATATATATATATATATATATATATATATATATATAGTATCGGACAAAATAAGTGCAATCAAATAATGCTAATTTAGTTTCTTTATATAAAAGTGCTGCATTTTTTCAATTTAGAGAAATAACTATGCAACTGTTTTTTTTTTTGACCACAAAGTCAAAAAAAAAACTATAGACAACAATCTTCAAGTTTTATTCATCACAAAGTTCATTATTTGTACACAAAAATTAATAAATTAAAAGTATTAAAAAAAGTTGATTTGCTTTTGGACAAAACAAGTGCAGGTCCACAAAATGTTGACCAAGCTGTATTTAAGTATCAATATTTCTTGGCAAATCCTTTGTTGTCGATGCTTTGCATAAATAATCCTAGATAATAATCCTTTGAGGCGTAGACTCGATTAGGTGATAAATGAAACTTTGTGGAGTCGCTGCCCAGGCCTTTTGAATTTGTTCAAACAGTTTATCTTTATAACGAAGACCTTCACGATTAATTCTGCCGTTGACAATCCCCCACAGGATCTAGATAGGGTTGAGATCCGGAGATTGAGGCGACCAATCTATCACCGATAGGTGGTTGACTTGAAACCACTGCTTGAATACTTTTGCAAAGTGTTTCGGGTTGTTGTCTTGCTAAAAATCCTATTTTATTGGCTAATTCCATTCAGTATGAGGTAACATAACATCTTTCAGAATAATTTTATACATGAAACGATCCCTTATTCCATCGATTTGATGTATTGGATCTAGACCTTAGCAGAAAAACACCTCCACACCATTACATTGCCTCCACCATGCTTCATGGTCTTATGGTAGTAACGTAAACCGAGGTGTTTTCCGGCCGGTCGACGTACACAGCAAATGCCATCGCTCCCAATGATGTTGAACTTCGATTCATCACTGAACAAGACAGTTCGCCATTTCTGCACATTTCAGTCAATATGAAATGTAGCTAACAGAAGTCTTTTATTCTAATTCCTTAATGAAATGAGCGGTTTTTTTGCGGGGTGTCGAGAAAACAATCCAACTTCAACAGCATGTCATCTGATTGTTCGGTCTGATACAGGCAGCTCTAACTGCTTTTGTATCTCGACTGATATCCAGGGATCCTTTTTGACGGATCTGACGATCATAGAATCAATTCTAGAAGTGGTGGAAGGCGGTCTTCCACCTTTGCTTTCTGGAACATAATCTTGATGCGGTATTTTTTCACGCGATTATTTATTTTTGTGACATTCCACTTACGTAATCGCCATAAATTTTCTTTCTTAGTTCGATTCCAAGACTGTTGGAAACCATTTTTGCACATGAAGTCATAAAAATAATAAAAATATATAATCAACGTCTTGGTTGGATGTGGACTGTTATGATGTAATTAAATACTTGTCGTATTTCACTTCTTTTATTTATGTTCTTCAATAAAACACATTGATAAAACTCATTTCAATAAACTGTCTTGGTAATACTGACTGACTGACTTCCATTTACTGACTGAATTATATGTCGGTTTACATGTCTCTTATATAGTAAAATGAACCTGTGTGAACGTGTTCTGGATGATTCTAGATGCTTCTTTTTGATGCTTCTGAAAACTTCTGGATGCGTCTGGATGCTTCTGAATGTTTCTGGATACTTATGGATGCTTCTGGATGCTTCTAGATGCTTTTTCTGGAAACTTCTGGAAACTTCTGCATGCTTCTGGAAACTTCTGGATACTCCCTTTAATTATTAAAAAACTTCCCTAACGTTGGCACGGAACAGACTTAAGAAAATGAAACAAACTAAAAAAGTTGCACTTGTTTTGTCCGCTGCAAAATACCACTTGTCAACGGAATTCTGCCTGTATGCTGTCACCAGTCAGCTGATTGCTCATGTCATGGCATGTTATGACTCCAGACTTCTGAACTGTTTGCTGCGGTAGTATAGTTCAATTCGTTTTTAAGACATGTAAAATTAGGAACATTTTTTAGCATTGTTCGATGTTGCTTGAAATAGTTTTGTCCAATACTGTATATATACTGTTATAATCAGTCAAGGACTCAAAGAAGGTAAGGATGATGCGTTTATCATTACAACATTTTCAGAGAGCCCCTCTAGTTACTCATTAAAAAAAAAACTTTTTTTTAATAATTTTTTAAAAAAAATAAAAATTCAATAAAGCAAAACTAATATTTTTTTTAGTGTAAAAAATTGACAACAAAAAATATTAAAACAAATGAGATAAAAAAGAAGAAAAAGAAAAAAAAAACTTAAAAAGAAGAAGAAGAAAAAAAAAATCTGAAAATAAATACTGTAAACTATAATATATATGTGAGAAATAAAGGAGATGCATTTTTTTCGATCAACTTTTTTTAAAATCATTAAGTCCTTTTTAATATTTGTTTAAATAATAAATAAGATCAATCGGAAATCTCTAATTATAGACCTGTATCAGTACTTTCTGAATTTTCCAAAATATTTGAGCGTGAAATCTATAACAGAATTTATAAGCATTTTAATGAAAATAGTTTATTTTACTAAAAACAGTTTAATTTTCAAAAAACCATTCAACTGAACACGCAATATTTGAAATAGTAGACCAAATTACTAAAGGATTTGAAAACAATAACTTTAGAATTATTTATTGACCTATCAAAAGCATTTAATACGATCAACTCATTCTTTTAAAAAAAAATAAAACACGACGGAATAATAAACAAAATCTATGATTAGTTAAACTGCTACCTCACTGAAAGAAAACAATATGTTATTAATAAGGAATCATGTGAAATAAAAATTATGTGCGGAGTTCCACAAGGGTAAATTCTTGGTCCCTTGCTGTTTTTGATATATGTAAACATTTTGTATAATGCTTCAGCAAAACGTAACGCGATAATGTTTGCTAACAACACAAATTTATTCTAATCAAACAGTGAAAATAGGCAACTTTACTCTGACATGAATTATAAATTAAGGAATGTCAATGAATGGTTTAAGGCTAATAAATTGTCATTTAATGTAGATAAAACAAAGTATAATCTATTCCATAAAAAATCACAACAAGAAAACCTTCCCTTAAAATTACCAGATTTAATTTTAGATGATAAACTAAATGGAAAAAATGAGTCAATACAACTCTTATGAATTCTTATTGATGAAAATTTATCATAGCTTCCTCACATAAATTATATCCAATCAAAAATTAGTAAAACAATTGGTTTGATGTACCGTATTCGCCCATATGTAACATCAGAAAGTCTGAAACTATTATATTTTGGCCTAATACATTGTTTTATTTACTATTTTCATATCGCATAGGCTAGTACTCAACCAACAAAACTTAAAATATATTTTCTCTACAAAAACATGCATGCAGATTAATATATGAGAAAAAAAAATATGAACATGCAAAACCACTAATAAAAGACATGCAAATGATGAGTATATATGAAATATTTACCAACACTTAACTTTTACACATGTAATATTTACCAACTCTTAATTTTTATGTATAAATATAATAACAGCCTGATTCCGAAAACCTTTAATAATAAATTTACGAAAAATTTTAACAATAATTATTCTCTTAGAATAAACCAATGGAATACTTATGAATTGCCTAGAATTAGGAGCAAGTATTCTGAATATGGAATAGCATACTGTGGACCGAAACTATGGAACACATATCAAAAAACCAAACATTTAAATACGGTAAAATCATTAAACTCCTTTAAGTTTCTAATAAAAAATGAAATTTTTAAACATTATAAATAATTTTGCAATTTTTCTAAATGAACATCGAATTCCATTATTCTTAGTTTGAAAAAAAAATTGTGTCTTTTTTTTTATATTTAAAACAATGTCAGTATTTTTTAAATGACTATTGTTAAAATTATGTCATTACTATTTCCTTTCTTTCTTTAAATGTAAATATATATGAAAGTGTTTGTTTTTTTATTATATTGGAATTGTACAATTGTATTTTTAATAATCTTATTCTATTTTAAACTTGTAAAGCCCATTGGGGCTTTATGAAAAGATTGTGGTAACTTTAGTTATCCGTATCTTCTTTTAACTCCTGCCTGTTTTTATAAATCAACTTTTTTTGTATGTAAATGTTTCTTTT